TGACCTAATAGAAATGCAGGTGTCGAGTTTGTCAGTTTTTGCCTCTCAAAAAACTTTGCTTTAAGAGGAAAAATATGTGAAGCAAGCTTTGCTTTCCCTCCATTATGAAGGATAGATTCTTTACAGGAAGAGTGGCTCTTTCGAAGCCAGCGCTATTTCAAGAAATGACGACAAATAAAAAACTCCACAAAATGAAACGACTCAATATAAATCTTTGATGTGGGGTGCATTAGAAAGTGAGGGATCTGCAGCTTTTTTTAGACGAAGTTCCTGTTTTTCAAACAAATTTTCGCGCACTTGAAAAATCGTAGTTTTTGGCTTCGAACTTTGCGTGTATCAAAGTTGGTCCGAATTAAAAGATCTTGTAGAGCTTGCTCCGTTCTATCATTGGTACCCTGTACCTTGGTTAAATATGAGAAGTGCATGACTTATGGCGTTAAAAAAGTGTAACAGGACTTTTATTACAACGCAATATGTCCTGAATGCTTTTCCCGTTTGCGTGAGCGAGTAATCCTTGGTGAGTCACGAGCGCGGCATTGATCGGCTGTGTGCGCGTACAATTCGCCTGCTTCTTTGCACTTACTCTCGCTTTCATTTCAAACGGCTTAATTCTACAGGAGTTACTTAAATGCTGTTTTTGTTCTTTATGAACTTTTTGGCAACAATTAGATGAAATATGGTCAAACATAAGATTTTACAGTTGCAATTTCTTCACACTTAATCCTTTAGTTTCTCACTTTTTCTTATAATAGTTTATAACGTAACTTTTCTAGTTGTTTTTGAAAGTTGATTCGTAATCACCTTTTATTCATTCTTAATCTGCTACTTCTCAACCATGCATCCATTGGTAGTGAATCATGTAATTCATTTAAGAATAGTCGGACCAACATTGTCACTATAATATCGTTTTTCTGCCTCGCGCATAAAAACAATACTTTTGGTTTTATCAAAAGTTTCTCGCTTCTTTGTTGGTCGCCGCACCGCCAGAAAAACGTTAAGTGACGAGCAATCTAAGTTTGACTCAGCTTTGTTTTCTCTTCTTTAGCGCTACTTTATTCTCGTGATTACTGAGTCTTTGCAATGCTACTTGCATTCATCAAGTAATTTCTTGTGTGGATACGAGGGTGATAAGTCAAAATCACATATGCGGCTCCAAATTAATTCAAAGTGTTATTTATTTAACATGGTGATTACGTATATTACAGACATTTGTTGGAACTTTGTCATAGAATTAAGGTATGTCTGTAGGAGGTCGTAATTATAGCGGCCAAAATTTGATCTGAAGAGGGGGAGGGGGGAACGTCATATTGTGTTTACGCTTATCGCATGCCATACCGCTATCGCTTTATCCGTGGCTACGATAATCATTTTACCCTCATTTGCAAGATTCTAGCATGTTAATAAATGCTTCACACATAGAATAATGACGTGCAAGATTTTGTAATGTGTTGTGTAGGTTATAGAGTCTTACAAGGGAACGATACTTAGTGTCCGTGACCTTTTGAGATGAGATGTACATCATTATACTTGTCTCGCAACGCTGATTCGGAATCTGACTTCCGTTTCTGCTGATCGTTTCTCTGAAAGGAGTTATGGAGGATTTTCGAGCCAAGTTTGGCCGCCCGAGTGAAATACAATCGGAGTGCCGATGCCTCTGGTAGGCTGTGGTGTAGTGGTTAGAGCGACAGCCTCACAAGTTGCAGGTGTAGGTGCGAGTCCTTTTGTGTTTTTTAATTCTGCATTGCCTCAATTAATCTTCTTTTTGAAGGTTAGGCATCCTCGAGGTAAATGCATGCCCTTACTCAAAAAAACCAAAGAAGACTCATTTTTATATGAGTTCTTCCTATATTTATTCTGCAAGGTGCTTACAGAAACGAAAATAAACGGAAAATCGTGTTAAACACAATGATGGAAATCTATGACAAAGGTTTAAAGCATAGAAGATGCTCGCAGTGAGCGCACCGTATAAAGAATAAGTCGTTGCAGTTGGCTTTCTCGCACTCACCCAGCAATTCACGCGAAAAGCAGTATTGTATTGGGGTTTGAAATTGACCAGGATGCTCATCAAGGCAGCCTGCGGCATACCACGGGTTTTATTCGAATTTATTCGAATTATGATTAATAGATATATTTTAGGCAAAAGCAATTATTTCTCCGAATTTTTCATCTTTTTGAAGAGGAATGGCATGCGTTTACCTCGAGGATCCCTAACTTTTGAAAAGAAGATTAATTGAGGCAATGCAAAACTAAAAAAACACAAAAGGAGGGGAACCTAGACCCGCATCAACTTAAGAGGTTATCGCTCTAATTACTATACCACAGCGCCAAGCAGAAGTATCTGGCACTCCGATCGTATTTCAATCGGACGGCCAAACTTGTCTCGAAAATCCTCCATAACTCTCTTCAGAGAAACGATCAGCAGAAACGGAAGTCAGATTCGGAATCAGCGTTGTGAGACAAGTATAATGATGTACATCTCATCTCAAAAGGCCACGGACACTAAGTATCGTTCCCTTATTAGCATGCCGCTTGATACCCGCAATCTGGCCCCCAATCAAGCCGACCAACGAATGCGCAAACGGCCGTAATGGCTCAATGGCGGATTACGGATAACACTCTGCACGCGATGCTGACCGTAGCTGTACATTCTACCTATTAGTGTTTGTCCTTGCCCAAGGCTATCCGTGACTCCAATTTACAGAAATGCTTCGTAAGGAGAACGACGTTTCCTGAAGGATTCACCCTTTGCTTCAACCAGAATGGCTGCTGGAAAGCGGGGCTTCATGACCTGAGAGGCGACTGCTCGAGTCCACAACGCAGTCTGCGCCTCCCTCGCGAACAGCCCTCTGATCATTTTCTAGTCTCAATTAGGTCACGGAGCCCCAACTTCCAACCGCCGATCTGGCTTGAAGCAAAGTGTAATTGAATTTTTTGTCATGCATTTTTCGTTACAATGACTTTAGCCCTGTCCATCGTATTCTTTGGTTCTGTTATGTCCAAACTTTCTGACAAGGAAAGGTGAAAAATCGTAGGCCAGAGTGTTTTTTTTACGTCATTTAGGAGATGGAGAGAATTCAACAATATTTTCAAAGCAAGTGAGTCGAAAATGCATGATCTCTATAAAACTCGTCGAAGGCAAATCGTTGAAGGCATCATAGTGGAAATGGCATTCCAGAAAAAAAAACTAAATCCTGTATAAAAACCAAAGGCAGAAGTTCCAACTGTGACCAACAATCTCTTTTGCAAAATAATTTTTGCAGGTAGGGTAGATTGTTTGAGATTTGAACTGTTTGATGCAAAGGTATGGGCACTTATTTTCGTCATATTTCAGTTAAACACTGTGCATATCGCGCCAGTTTTATTCTAATGTAACTCCGCATGCATTGTGGCTCAGTACAAAGCAGTATTTTATTTTGGGTAAAGATAATATTCTACAACGAATATTTTTTTCTTCTATACTCGACCATCCTGAACACAACAAAGAATTTCGTGACCAAACGATCTTATACCGTGTAGAGCAAATCACGTAACCATTTTCGCAGAAGCAGCGCCAATATCAACAAGAAATCGATCACTTAAAGCGAGAGATCGAACGGCAGAAACAAGACAAGAGAAGGTTGTGCGAACAAAATGAGCGATTCAAAAGAAACAAACCACCCACCGAAAAACGCTTACACGAGTGAAGGAAAATGGGAAAGGGACACATGTCGACTCTTCCCGATCAGTATCAAGGACCCCCGGTCAAAACCCATAAAATAGGACCGGAAAGTTGGGAGGAAAGACTCGAGCGCGAAATAGTAGAGATGGAGAGAACATTGCAAGAGGTGTCCTTTCCGGAAAATAAGACAAACAAACCTTAGGGTGAAAAGAAGTTCAGTGGCTGAAATCAGCGAACACTTCTCAGATTCCTGCCCACACTACGTCAACATAAACAGGAGACTAGAAATAGCCCGTCAGAAAGAACTGTCCCGCTTTTATCTTGAAGATCGTCCTCCCGACAAGGAGTGCGCTTACGCAGCAAGGGAATGTTGGTACTGCAAAAGATTGAAAAAAACCGTTTTCGGCGACCTCATTCCAAGAGATGTTGAACACCATTGCGCGCTCTGCAATGTTCCGCACATGAGGCCACGGGCAGAGCAGAGAATTCTCGACGTCAAACAAGCACTGAACAATCATCGCAGACTAACTCAGTAATGGCGTGGGGAGTGTCGACGACGATGACCAAGTGAATATCATACCATGTAAATATATGTAAAAATCCCTTGTGTTTGTTCGACCATATCAAGTTACTTATTTGATGAAGCATTTGGTATTGTACAGTTTTCTCAAGTCAAGTTTTGTTTTGCCTTTCGTTACCTTTATCATATGACTCAAATTTATTTCCCCTTAAAACATATGTGAGAGCTAAGTTTTATCAGATCTGTGCTTGTATAAAAAGAGCCCACATCGCCGTATGAGCATGCATCCAACTCAAGTTTCGCTCCATCCCCTCAGGCGCAAGTTCGCTGACTTTCAAGCTCGGCTCGTTCTCAAGTGCTTCCATTATGAGCGGGTCTTATCTGTACATATCTGTACATATCGAGATTTGGGAACAAAATTTGGACCTTCGACTTCAAACACAACATCATGGTCCCACGTGGCAGTGTTTCGCGTTTGGCAAGCTCACTGAAGCAAAGCAACCCCAATTTCTCCACGACCATACTGTGACATGTGGTTGATTATGGGTTTACTTTTACACCACATTCAAAATACATTTAAAGGCTACATTCTCACATGATTACTCTAAGTAAGGTATCATTCGATACTAATAAAAAGCCTTGAGGAGCAAAAATTAGCAAACTGCCAATTCCTATCTTAGTGCAGCACGAGTATCTTTCTGCGACATCATCTTTCAACGCTGCAGCATGCATAGCCGTTCTCTCGCAACATAGTTATATCAAAAACTTGCAGATTCATTTAGTTCGATAATGAAGACCCTAGGATACCTGAATCGATATTGCAGCTATGACAGAAAGGACAGGTCTACTTTTTGACGTCATATTCGACGTTTTTGATGATTTCGAATTCCATCAATGGAGTGACCTGCCAGTGGAAATTAAGCTTCACATCTTGAAATATCTTACCTTTCCGACGCTGAGATACTTCATGTTTTTGAGCAAGGAATGCTACGATCTCGTGTGCAAAGTAAAACCAACAGTTGACTTACGTCTTGGAGATGTGGCGTATCTAGCTTCTACGAAACAGGTGTATTTGATTCTAGATTGAATATAGTATATAGTTGCTTTGACAGAATAAGAAAGACCTGAATTGGTAAGGGGTCAAAAATTCAAGGTTTTTGAAGCCAACGCTCGGATGTCGCGATGGTGTGGAATTACACATATACTGGCGCAAGCCTGAATCAGGCCCGAAATCCGCTCATGATTATGCATTGATATTTGTCAAGGACGGTCAAGAAGGATGTTCTGTAAAGAGGTACGAGATATTGTTTTCACGTCGTCGCTTATTATGCAAATCGTTGCAGGATGATAAAGAAGAAACGAAAATATCTTGAGCTACCAGGCACGAGTTACAGCTCGGATATCCTCACTGCTGCAATAGAATCTATGTTTGGGCTTTCTAAAGTCTTGGATATTCGAGTATTGACCCTATCAATGGTTGGTCCAGCCATATGCGTTTCTGACAGGATCTGAATCCTTTCAGTATTCACCAAATTCACGGTTGGAAGCTCTTTTAGCCGAGCAACCATCTTCACAACAAATAGCGAGGAAAGAGTTCACCTTGGACTTTGAAGGCGAACCCTCAATCACGAATCACTTCTTGAGATTTCTGAAACCTGGGTGTGGAATAATCGTCTTGAAAGATACATCTACATCGGAAGTTATTGAAGAGCCTGAGTTATTCAATCACAATATTGTAAGAATTTTTTCGCAAAAAAGCTCACTTCACAAACTCGCTTTTTAGTTTCGGTGCGCCCGTAAGATCACACTTTTCGGTTGGAAAGCGGGAATGACAGATGAACAGCTTGTTCAACTTGCAGCAGAGGATATTTATATCACTGCACCTCATATCACATCTCGAGCTATCAACAAGCTTGTTCGAGTGAGGAAACTATACTAAAAAACTGCAGGAAATTGCGAGATTGAATTTGACATCCAGAAAGATAGCTTACAAAATGTTTCTCGATTGTTTTTCGTTAACCTAGTCATTAGTTTGAATTTGGAAATCTCCTTAAGCAATGCGATTGACAGAAACATGCCTTTTCAAGGTAATTCACTTAAATTTGGACGAGCAGAACAGTTTCCGGCAAGAGTCACTGTAAGACTTTTTGTGGCCGTACTCAGCAACGAACCCTGAGGGTAAACCTTACCCTTAAAGGTAAGTTTTACCTCAGGGTTCATTGGACGTATTCATCAACGAACCCTTGAGTGGAGGGTAAGGTTTACTCCGGAAAACGATTAACCCGTATCGATCAACGAACTCTGAGAGTAAACCTAACCCTGTGAGGATTAATCTTGGGTAAACTTTACTCCACGATTAGCTCATATTCACGAACGTGGTTCATCAGGGTTTATCCCTGGCACAGAGCAAGATAAGATTCACTCTAACTTCTACAAACATCAAAAGTGATCTCTCGCTGCACTACTCGGTCCAGCGTTCTGTTTTGACAATAAACACGTATTTATGATTACTATTATACTATCTCAAACTTCCTGTGGTGGCCTCTTTGTGTTTTCGTTTGATGTTATCATCCGATATTATAGGCTGAGTTGCTATAGTAAAAGATTTACTTTTGAGTAAAGTAACTAAGGACTGAAACATCAAACTCAATAACTCCGATACATTCGTTGTTCAACCAAGCTCGGCTGAGGCTCCCTCAAATTCTAGTCCACTAACAATTTTTTTACATGATCATATTGTCGTAACTCAACCGAATACGCTTTGATTTGAATAATAAAGTACTAAAAAAATTTTACCCTAATTTTTATAATATTATTAGACAAGACAAAAGAGGACTCAACAAACTTAAGATAATATTAATTGGAAATATGTGTTTGTTGTCAAATAGTATCGTTTGGGCTAAGTAGTGCATCGAGAGATCAATTTTGCATGAAGTGTCAGCGTAGAGTTAACCTTGCTCTATGCTAGGGTTAAATTCACCCTGATGAATCACGTTCCTGAATACGGGTTAATGGGTTAATCGCTTTCCGGGGTTAAACTTACTCTCCAGTGTAAGTTTAACCCTCAGAGTCGTAGATGAATATGGGTTAATCGCTTTCCGGGGTAAGGTTTACCCTCAAGGGTAGATTTAGGGTTAAGCCTACGCTGTGCTTCGTAAATACAGGTTAATCGCCTCCCGGGGTGAAATTACTTTCCAGTGGCCGTATTCATCAAAGAACCCTGAGGGTTAAACTAACCTTGGAGGGTTAGTTTCACCCTGGAAAGCGATTAACCCGTATTCATGAAACACAGGGTAGGCTTAACCGTGAGGGTTAAATCTACCCTTGAGGGTAAACCTTACCCCGAAAGCGATTAACCCGTATTCATCAACGAACGCTGAGGGTTAAACTAACCCTGGAGGGTGAAACTTACGTGATTCATCAGGGTGAATTTAACCCTAGCTTAGAGTAAGGTTAACTCTACCCTAACACTTCATACAAACATTTATTCGCATCTAATAGTTTTATGGAAAACGATCAACGAGCATTGTAGTATTTAGTATTAGTTGTTGTTATAGTATTTAGTTTCGACTTCGTTTTATGTTCAAATTCGAAGTACATGAAACATTGACTTCGCGAGGAAAAGAATTCTAGCTTTGGTGACAAATGAATGCGACGAGTAAAAATGGTTGCGCATTCCACTCTGACAAGTGCCAAAACAGAAGAATTCCTTTATGATAACACGCATTGACCCTTGAAAGAATAGCACAATCCCGGTATAGAATGAACTGGCAAAAGCAGTACTTCCACGGCACAGTTGCACACATAAAAATAACACGCTGTAAGACTGGATGCTGCACAATATGCTAGAGATGTGTTATAAAAACTAGTGTTAGAAGCTTATTCGTTGATTATACTACTATAACAGTGAAAGAATAGAAGTATAAAGTGAATTTAGCACGTACTTAGGCATTCTGTGATGTGAGTTTGCACAGCGCACGCGTAACTGGCGCGTTAACCCTCCAGGGTTAGTTTAACCACCAGGGTTCGTTGATGAATACGGCCACAGGTTCGTTGATCGATACGGGTGGATCCCGTTCCGTAGTAAACCCTACCCTATGTTGATGAATACGGCCAATGAACCCTGAGGGTTGAACTTACCCTCCAGGGTTAGTTTAACTCACAGGGTTCGTTGATGAATACGGCCACAGGGTATTAACCCTCAGGGTTCGTTGATGAACGGCCATTGATCTCAACTATGACGCAATGCGTCCTATACTTTGATTAGTGAAGGATCTTAAGTCGAGTGGCGAACTGGAGTAAAATGCAAATTATTGGGTGTCTTGATGAGCTTCGAGTGAGGTAACTATACAAAAAAACATTTCCGAATTTAACTCTCATATCAGCTGAGCGTTCCTTGGAAGAAGTTGTGAGCGTTTGAAAATCAAATTATATACCATCAGTGCCTCATATACTTGTTTAAACTACTCAAATATGTATTTTCCACGTACTCTCTTCTTTGAACCTGGGCATGTTGTATCGGATATCGTGTATTGTTCTTCTGCCAGGTTTTGTGGTGGATCTTTAGATCTTACATTTCGACTAATGTCGTCTTCTTCGGAGGTCTGAAAAGGAATTGCGGTGATAGTATCTGTTAGTCTATACGAAAACGCCTCATCAGGCTTCCGTCGTTTGAACCTTGTCGAGGCGCAACGTCGACGTCGCCGAATAACAATTCGAAATGGGTTCACCAACCTCTAATCCATCCTGGAGTCAGTCCGCACGGAGGTGACGGACATCACTGAGGCTGCTCAGTGAGTCAAGGACTATATATACTGCGCGGTTTAAGATCACATAATCACATAAGAGGCAAGAGATCAGTCGTTATCGTCACGCGCTCATTTTTTGTTGTTCACGCCCGGATTTCCGCGTAGATCAACGCGGCCTGTAACATTTTTCGTGCTGAAATCCTGACCTCCTGCGCTAAAAATGTACACTTCACGCTAAAATCGCCACCATCGTATGCCTCAATCACCGTTGGGCAAACATAAGATTGGGGCACACGGTGACGATTTTAGCGTGAAGTGTACACTTTTAGCGCACGAGGTTAAGATTTCCGCACGAAAAATGCTACAGACCGCGTTAATCTACGCGGAAATCCGGGCGTGAACAATAAAAATGAGAGCGTGACGATAACGACCGATCTATTGCCTCTTATGTCATTATGTGATCTCAAACCGCACAGTATATATAGTCTTTGACTCACTGAGCAGCCTCAGTAATGTCCGTCACATCCGTGCGGTCTACTGACTCCAAGGTGGATTAGAGGTTGGTGAATCCATTTTGGATTGTTTCTCGGCACGTTGCGCCCAGACGAAGTTCAAACGACGGAAATCTGATGAAGCGTTTGTTCGTGTAGACTAACAGATAATATCATCGCAATTCCTTTTCAGACCTCCGAAGAAGACGATATTCGTCGAAACGCAAGGTCAATAAAGATCCACCACAAAACCTCGTTGGCAGAAGAACAATACACGATACTCAGATATGTTTTCGGTGTATTTGTGCATTCCTTGTAGTCAGTACATTGAATACCATGCCAATTATGCACACGCAAGCTGGATTACAAGGCACGTTTTGCATTAGAAGCCTAGGTCACTGACCGCTCATAGCTTCTTTTGGGGAACAGCTCTGCAGATACGGAAGTCAGATTGGAATCAGTTCATCAAGAAAAAGTTTATAAACATACTCTCGATACATGAACCCATGACTCTGGTAACCCTCACTTTGAGCGCCATGATAGAACACAACCTTTGCCTAAAAAAAACAAAAAGCCATCCGGGGAGAAGCCCCGAATGTTATAATTTTGATTATATCGCAATGAATGTGAATGAAGCAAAAATAGGGAATATTATCTTTAGACCATCTCAGCGAAACCGAGAATCTGCGTTTTCATGGCCTTTTTTACGCTAAGTAGAAGGTTTCTGTGAACATTTCTCCGGAATTCAGGACGACATTTCCCACCTTAACCTCTTATTTGACTGAAATTGAGTTTCAGAAGTTTTTAGGGAAGTTGTTGGAGTTGAATAAAAATGCGAAAATTCGCTTAAATCTCGCGCAGAGACTTGCGTACGAAAATGCTGGTTCATTTCGTAAATGAGTATTTGCAACGCTTGGGACGTTGTCAGTGCTCCTCATCGTGTCATGACGATCAGAATGATGTATAATGTTGCAGAGTTTCGTTGAGACCCCGAGGATTTACGACCACAGCTAAATGCCCCTCGTCTGCGTATCCGCTCGCTGCACGCTACCTCGCCATCCCAATCGCGGAGCGCAGGGCATTTGGCTCTGGTATTATTTTCTTCGTTGTTTCGAATCCAACTTCAACAAGCTATATATCATATATTGAAGAACTTGTTCTCTACTTTCGCGCTGACAACGTCTTAAGACCACATTTTTTGATTTGAACGAGAAATCCAGCAAAGACCTTGTTTTCGACATCTCTTATTCTTCCCCGTTGAGTTTAACTCTTTTACGCGGCTTTTTCGTCACTCTATAGATCTTGCATCTGTTCATAAGGACAACGGTCCAGTGCTAATCTCTTCGATTGAAGCGGATTTTCTGTGAAAAATCGTAAAAAAGTGCGTTTTTCTTTACCTTGTTCTGTTTCAGTGCTTTCGCAGCTATTTTCATTCAGCCTAGATTATCGCTCAGAATAATGAGCGCAACAATTTAGACCACGTCCCAGAGAACGGGAACCACAATGCAGGGGTAAAAATTAAAGGACGCAAAAACTATGTTGGCTTTGACCCGCATTTCGACTTGCTAAGAACAAAACTGAGTTGTTAAATCTGACTTTTCTTGTTTATCTTCTCTCAATAATCGTTGCTTCCAAAACATGGCTGTTTTTGGAATAAACATAAGCTTTTCCTCGTCTTCCACCGTGTTGTGGATTACTTGGTGGAGCGAAAACCTGTAATGCTGCAAATGAAAGATAACAAACTTAACTTAACTTGCAGCGTCTTTGTCCGATTTTCAAGAATTTTTTTTGCTCTAGCTGACTGTTTTGCATCTTCTTTTCTTCTCTGGTTTTATATAGACAACTATCAGTTTTTATGAAGGGCAGATAATCAAACAACCTTCACTTTTGAGGCCTCATCTCTGGACTATCGAAGGTATGTTCATAAGGATTTCAACCTAGTCGCCACACTCGAGATCTTTTACAAGTGAGAGGAAAAGAATGGTCGATCCCCCTAAGGTGTAGGCGTAACTACAGAACCTCCAAGAGCCTTAAAACTTGAGAGTTGTGAATTTGCGTTCCCAAGGATGTCCACTTGCACATGGCATTATAATTTTTGATGACCTCTAACCTTGACTTTGCCTTTGAGCACGTTTCAAAAAACTATGTTGATATGGTTAGAAATTCTTTCTCTTAAGGAATGGCTGGAAGGAAAACGCACAATCAACTCCATAGATCTGGCAGAAGTGCAGATAAACATGACACTTATTCTGCAAAATCTCGATCCGAATGCGATCATGCAGTTCAAAGACTTTCTCAAACTGTAAGTTTTTGGCCACTGTAGTTGCGAATGAGAGGAAAGGATACCAGTCATAGCTATGATCAGGATGGTTAACGGATCGGATCAAAACTGTCCTGAAAAAAGCAAAATCTCCTTAGAGATGCGATCCCAGATCAAAGACTAACCGCGCGAAGAATCTGTCACACACGACGTTCGCAGCGCTGCGCCTATTTACAATAGCCTACTGTTTGCCACTCCTCCACCGGAATAAATTAAGCTGGCGCAAGATCAGAGTGGAACAATGGTCATTGTTGGACAATTGTTGTGTCTTTACAATGATATTCTTCTATCGAAAAGAGACCGATTGTAAGAAGCAGGAGACCGTAGTAAACTGGGTGATGCACCTTGTGCCGCACCGGTCCGAAGCGATTCAAATTCTACATCGAGAAACGAATCGACCATCGCATTACGATGATAGTAATTGATGTGCACACATACATGCAACCGTTATGTATGCACAAAAACATTTCGTTTAACAAGACAGACAGAAAAAATTGTTAATCAATTGTTGAAGGCAGTGTTTCATAATCCCGGAATTTGTGCATATTATAAGCCTATCCGATCCCGTGTACTTTACGGGAGAATCCGCATGAAAATTACTCTTCAGCTATGACACTTTCTTAGAACCACCAACGGCTACTTTGCTAACTTGCTCAGACATATTTGCGATTTCCTGATTCTATAATACACGCTGGGCTGCTTAGGGCTCATCAATTTTACGCATAAAAAGTGTTCCACTAATTCTGTAGGTTGCTCATGAGCCGCTGAAACTGTTTGTGCGAAGTTGGGATATGGTTGACCTGTTTGCTGTGGCAAGTGCAAAGGCAGTGTCTGAACAAGAAGTCGATTTGAGTTTTGTGCTTACATGGGCCTATTCGCTACGCTGAATCCAAAGTATTGAAGAACTCATAAACAGTAAATAGGCTCTAACGCAAAAGGGGAGCAACAGATGGCAGGGCTTTCATTCTGTGAAGTCATCACTCTTCCTTAGGATCGATCCCGGTTCCGATTTATACATCACGCGCTCGCACTTGGCCGGTTGCGATGTAGGGCGGCTAACGGAAGCGAGAAGGTCGCTCCTGAACTGAAAGAGTGACTTCACAGGGAGGACTCGCCCACCTGCTAATACTCCTTTCCTGCACTAGAGCCCCTTCTCGTCATTTTCGCGCTCTCCATGTAGGTTTTCGGATTTAGCATAGCAAGTAGGTCCAGGTTAGCATAAAAGCTTGAAATCGATCTTGTCAAGACACTGCCCTTGAGTACTAATTGCATTTCGAAGGATAGGTACAGTCTGCTTCAATCGGGATCAGGCCGAAGCGTCAGCGTAAATTTGCGCGCTCACAACGCCAGCGGCCTGCGCTGCATATGCGGCCGTCACAGAGAGCAAAAGGACTGAAGAGAGAGCAGAGAAGCAAGCCGTGGGCGTGACCGCGAAACCCTAGCGACGCGGACTCCCGCCATGCCAATTTTGGCCTGGTTGGGATTGGGGCAGACTGTATACGTTTTGCATGACGAAGGGGCAATATCATTGGTCGCGAACGCGGCTTTATTAGCCGCAGAGCGCATGATATGCGGGATTTACAACGGTGAGGATACGCGCGCCGCCTTCGCGCCCTCTCAACTAATACTGCTTCTGCGCCCTCTTCATGCAGTAGCCTTTGAATTCATAGACTACCTTATTCAGCATTGTTCAGCATGAGCGCATGGTGCAAACTAAAAACTAGAATTCTGTAGCAGACATGCCAAAAATTATGCCCTTTGATTCAACGGAATTGGCGGCTGGAGTTAGAGGAGTTAGAAGATGGTCAGAGAGCACGCTTGCGAGGGAGACGCAGAATGGGTCGCGGGCGCGAGCGGTCGCCTTCCAGCCGCCAATCTCGTTGAATCAAGCGGTAATGGATGAGGAAAGCGAAGAAAAACGAGGCAAGTCGACCTTGATCACTCTCCATAGGTAAATTTTACGCTTTAGTCCGACTTCCGCCAGCTGCTTGCGGCACGCATGCGTAGCCTCATCCAAAGGTACCCGCGATTGATGCAGGGTAAAGCAGCCCACACATATGTCCTTACATCAAATTAGCACGAATGGTTACAATTGCTACAATTTTTAACGTTCTTCCTTGTCTTAAGTTTTTCTAACACTTGTTTCAGTGCTATCTCTACTACATTGTCTGCCAAATGCCTTATTTTTAGAACATCCTACAACGGGATCCGGATAGGAGTAGAGTCCACCGCTCCTGTAATCAGAAGTCCAAGAGGCTTTCTAATGGTATTGACGGAAGCGAACAATTGTCTATTAACAGATCCCTATTTTGACAACTAGAATGAAAACCATCTATCCATAATCTGCAAACAAGTGTACGATGAAGTAAGAGATGAGCAATAAAGCCGTATGGTCAAGAAACGCTGGGTTGTAACAGATAGAACTGAGAGCTTCAGCTCACAAACCTGACGAACCGACCACTTTTCTCAAGGTTATTCATCACAAAGTCATCCGCTGCATGACTTATATGGAGTTTACTCTGAAATACGAACTCTGTCAGCTCTCACAAATATGATGTTTGACGTAATAAAGTGCGGTTCATAATTATACGAACACCCCAAATTTTGGAAGTTCTTGGGCTTTTTGACAGAAACTCAAAAAGCCGTTGGCACCACGCGAAAGAGCACAGCCGAAAACGGTATATGATCCATAAGAATGGAAATGGATGTCAATCTCAAAGGTGTTTTTGCGCTTAATGCAAATTTTTAGCGGTTCATAATTATACGAACACCTCAAACAGAGGTCCATTTTTCATTCAAGATTGCAATTATTTAAGTCCAAATTTTTTGTAGAGCTACAGTAACAAAGTCTGACATATCTGCTACACACTGAACCCAGTGCAGTTCAAAAAGAGGACCGTTACTTTTTTCAGAAGGCTCCAAATGCTTTTGGAGTGATTGCGCTTCAAAAACATCCGTTCTTCTGTGGTTTACGCACTCTAATTAGCTTGTATCAAGACTATGCGATAAAATAAGCTCTTTCGATACATATTCTGTTTGACGCTTGAAAAATCTTTGCGTTTTCGTGTCGTTTTTCAACCAAGTTCCAACCTTACCACAAAGTTAGCACGATTTTGAGCCTCAAAACTCAGCTTCTGAAGCCGTACTATGAAGTAAGCACATAGTATGCGTAAGTTCACAAGACTGCATATTTGGTTAGAAAAAATCAGCAGCGCTGAGCGTTTGTTTTGGCCACGCAGACGTCATTTCACCAAAAACACTGTTTTTACTATTGCAATCATACCTTTATTTGGTTTTTAGCTCCATAGCCTCAAGATCAGTTCTACAAAAAACCCAAAAACTTTGGCACAGAAACATCATCACGCGAATAATGCAGCGGCTTCATATCAAATGTTTGCGCAAGAGAGAAGCTGAGTTTTGAGGCTCAAAATCGTGCTAACTCTGTGGTAAGGTTGGAACTTGGTTGAAAAACGACACGAAAACGCAAAGATTTTTCAAGCGTCAAACAAAATATGTATCGAAAGAGCTTATTTTATCTCATAGCCTTGATACAAGCTAATTAGAGTGCGTAAACCACAGAAGAACGGATGTTTTTGAGGCGCAATCACTCCAAAAGCATTTGGAGCCCTCTGAAAAAAGTAACGGTCTTCTTTTTGAACTGCACTGGGTTCAGTGTGTAGCAGATATGTCAGACTTTGTTACTGTAACTCTACAAAAAAAATTGGACTCAAATGACTGCAAACTTGAATGAAAAATGGACCTTTGTTTGAGGTGTTCGTATAATTATGAACCGCTAGAAATTTGCGTTAGGCGCAAAAACACTTCTAACATTTACATCAATTTCCATTCTTATGAATCATATACCGTTTTCGGCTGTGCTCTTTCGCGTGGTACCAACGGCTTTTTGAGTTTCTCCCAAAAAGTCCAAAAACTTACGAAATTTTGGGTGTTCGTATAATTATGAACCGCACTTTATATGATAGCTTATAGCGTGGAACTTTATGCAGTGGTTATCAGACACGTGCTCATATACCTGTAAGGGACGATATGCAAGATATTTTCATAGGCTATAACTAATGAATGCCAAAGAAAAGAATTGAGTGTGCCATTTTGGGTTTCGTTGAGATTCAAAATCTCTGGTAAGTATTAGGTTTAATGCATGTTCCTTATCCTGAGGCGGTAGAGGAAATATGAAAACGTTTTGATTATATCATTCGTTTAAGCAAAGCAAGCTCTACAAGATATTACTTGAAATAGCAGAAGGTTCGATCCATGTGAAGTTTGCGGAGAAAACTTTACAAGTTTTTGAACAACCATCAGATTTCTGTCTAAGTGCGAAGACCAAACTTGGACAAGCATCTACTATACACATAAGGTACTCAAGTGTACGTAAGCCGCGTTTTTTGTGACTGGAAAGTGAAGAATAAAAATAAGACAAAAGTTCAATATTTTTTGTTTTTAATGTTAGATTTGATATAAAACACCGCTCATAATTCGTCAAAAAAGTCGCCGGACTGCGGCGCACTCCGCCGGAGTGCGCTGCAGTGCGCCGGAGTGCGACGCAGCCCACTAGAGTGTAGCGGAGTGCGCCGCACATCCTAGAGTCCGAAATCCGCGTCGTATCGCCATATCTCGCCTCAGAATGGACGAAATCTAAACCCGAGTATACCGCTCGATTCAGCGCGGCTAGGCGCATCATACATTATGCAGAGGTGCAACAGCCTGTCGATGTATTGCGAGTATACGGTAGGCAGTAAGTTTTCGACCAGTTTTACAGATTTTTGTTCGGTTAAATTAGCTAGTGTGCTGATCATCGCCATTGATTTGCTACTGATGGCACATCGTACGAATACTGTTGGAGTATAATAAAGAGTCACTTTAAACTTTGATCGATTTGTTCTAAGTCCAGCTCTGGGTATTTCTGATGCTATTGCGTTAATTGAATTCACTGAGGCTCAAGCACAGTACGCAGGGATCTGCATGTAAGGTCACTATGATTGCGTTCGAAACGTTGCTCTGATGCCTATCTATCTCATTGTTGACGAATATCATGTTATCATTAACATCATTAAATAATAGAACTGTAAACAACCTAAAAAATAAAAGGTACAATTAAACCATATCCAAAGAAAAATCCCTCGATAACGATCCCCTCCCCCTTCCCGACCCCTCAAAACGACCCCCAGGTGTGGCATGCCACACCCCACGATTGATCCTAATTATAATCTTTCCGCGACTTTGCATCTCCATCTGGCAAAACTTCTACTCGTCCCTTGAGCTTGTAAAGAAACTAGAAATACCGCATCATTTCCATTGGAAATGAAAGCTTTTGAAATGCGTCACCAATTCTGCCTAGAAAAGCAGAAATTGATTTTTTTTACCGTATGTCTTCTATAATGTCCATATGTAAAACAGAAGTCACAAAGATGTCACTGCATTTTGAAAATCATTTCTAAAGTTCCCAGCTTTTAGAATCAATAGTTGATCAGTGCTTGTATTTTTATTTTCACAAAAATCTAAAAATTACGGGTTCTATTCATTCAGCACAACGAGATGTAAAGTAGTATGTATTGCTGCCAAATCTTCATCATACAAAAACTTGTAATGTCCACTATATATGCAAAAATATCAAGTTTGAGATTACAAAGGTTCTCAGTTTACCTGAAGGATATGTACACAATCTATGAGCACGAGGAGATCACAGTTACCCGTAGAGGAGGATAAGATATATATGCTATCTCAGGCGAATGCAAAACCGTCCAGTCTCTGCGCGCGATGAATGGCCTTTTTGTGTGCTTCGCCAATATCCAGACGATCATCTCTGCGATACATGAGACATGAACGACGATCGCATAGTGCGAAAGCTCCATGAAGACATCACCGATGTACGTTGTGTCATGCCGGATTTCGAGTTTGCATGTGATAAGCGTGAGCTGAAACGCTGATAGTTTCAACCCAATTTGCGAAATTTGCACATTTCTACCTTTGTTGCTCACAATAGCAGATTAGGAAGAGCCATCTTTTGCACGTTTGTACTAACTTCCTTCTGAACGTTGAAGAAGTCATGCAGAATAGTACAACATTGAGCATTTTTCCAGTAAGGACCAACTGATTGGCGACTACAGATGCAATTTGCAGATTGCTGAAGCAGGAAAATAAGATACTAACAAATTGAAGCTAGCAAGATTGAAGTGTACCTAGTGGATCCGTAGAGTATTTGATAGACGAACACTATGGCAGATGGACCCTGTGTGAGCGTGAAGCAAGTAACAATGGCCAACACTGTTGTTGTCATCTTTCGCTCTTGCTCATGGATTGCTTCCGGATTAACATTTACCGAATTGACGAGCAACTCCTGAACTATATTTTGGTCACTGTTCCCAAAAATCTTATTTTCTACCCACCTCACAGTTCCTCTTCTTCATCAATTTGATGAGTGAAATATTTATCGCACCCACGGCAAACACAGGTAATAATACAGCAAAGGCTGCGTTTAAAAAAACGGACAACTCGATCCACTCTCGAACAAACTCCGACGTCGGATTCTTCTGTTTCCCCCAGTATTGAAGCACATTTGAGAAACACAGGCCTATTAGCTGAGTTCCGGAGCAGACAGACCATGTCTTGCAGGTATGCGAGACGTGATGATAGCTAGATTATGGAAAGGTTACGGTTGGATAGTGATTTATAATCAGGGAATGATTTGCATCGTTTGGTCTTCGTTGCGAATTAATCTCTAGTCTCAGCTATTACATTCGAACTCTATTCTCATGCATTTCTCGCCTCTTTCTCACAAACCTTTCTGTTGCCTTCTGTGTAGCATAGCTCTCGTAATTCTCAGTCATATTTATTCACGACTTAGTCAGCTTGCACGCTAGTAATTCGCTGGCGTTTTTTTTTTTGACCCACAACGAAGAAGGACTACAATTGTTACTGATTTTGCGTAAATGGCTGGGAACAGGAACAGAATTGAGCATAACGCCTCAGAACAATATCAAGAATTATCTCGGAGATGTGAAAACGGAAATAGAAAGAGTAGACTAATCGAAAGCTCCGCTTACCTTGTCAATACAAATGTAGCGCATAAAATGCATAGCGACACGAAAACGATTTGACGAGACTGAAATTGAGAAGTTGCACAAGTTTACTGAATTCAAATATGATTATTATTTTGAGTATTTTTGTAAGGGGCTTTAGCAAGCAATACGCTCTCTGCTGGTTTACGCTGCTGGCCTGAGGTAGGAGCTCCCTCCCATATCGCGGGCTGTTAATGCATACGAGACTAATTGTAGGTCTCGATTACACTTTTTAGAGTGTGGG